TAGCAAATTTTCAAAGGATTTCAATGAACAAATGTATCCTAGTATCCCTTGGTTAGGCAAATCAATAGAGTCAAACAGATAAATTTTCTGAATATGAATTTGTGATCAATTATTATGATGTGATATTTTACTAGCAATGATAAAGAAAACAGATTGATATTGGAGATTTCTCACTCGCAAACTGAATTAGCATTTTACATTATTAGTTAATAGTTAATTGATAGACAGATTTTGGCTAGAGGTGTTCATGGGCTAGCATGTTTGCACCCAAATTTGATTTTTCTTTAAAAAAAATAAAAGATACGAAAATTGATTTTATCCATCAGTGAAAAAAAAAACATTTTTTATAATTGAAAACGCATTCATTTTAACAAAAAAAAAAAATTGTGATGAAGGGTAATCATGCTTAAAAGGGGTAAAAATACATTTTCATTCCTGAACTATTGTATTAAGAATACTAAATATCTTAAACTACTTATTAGAACAATGTCACTCCTCCAATATTAAAAATGTTGCAATATAACCTCTTCTCTAACATATTTTGACAATTGATTTCAAATTGACTTTAGATATGGCTGAACCAATGTATAACCTCTTGAAATCTTAAATTTTAACTTAATTGTTTTTGGATAATTAATATTATCGCTTATTTAGTTGAGATTCTACTTCTGATACAGAATAACAGATCATATTTTTTTGGAGATATCAAATCAATTTGATTGAGAATAATTCGTATAAAATTCAGACTTGAGTTCTATAAATATAATATCACGTTAGGTTACTTATAGACTTTGAGCAACACAAGTTTTGTCAAGTTCTATCTCAAAATAGCGAATTTGTATTTTTTGATCATCTACACCATTTTGGTTTACCCAAAAGTTCTTCAAAAAGTACAACTTTAAAAAGATCTTTTAAAGTTGAACGTTTGGAAAAAAAATTTTCAGGGTCCTCTATCCAAGAATTAGAGAATGAAAACATATTTGGCGTCGATTTTAAAAATATTAACTAGTTACTGACAGAGAAAAGTAAAAGAAAATAAAATGAAGGAAAGAAAGTAAGTCATGGGTGAAAGATATGACAAAAAAAAAAAAAGACAAAAGAAACACAAGAAAAAAGACAAGAAAAGAAAGCAAGCCATGGGTGTGACAAAAAGAAAAAAGAGAAAAAGAGAAAAGGCAAAGACAAGAGTGGAAGAAAAAGAAAAAGCAAAGACAAGAGTGAAATCTTGTCAAAATAGTTTAAGCACGAAAGAAGAAAAGTAATTAAAGTTAAACGAGCTAACTCAATTATAATTTTTCTGAACTTCTATGAAATCAAAAGATTCATAGTTTTTCAGACATCAATTTTTTTGGGCCTCTCTTCTTGTAAGCTGACCCTCTTCTCTATTTACCCCTTGTAATATATTTTCTTTTAGCCCTCTCTTTATTCTCCGCCTTTGTAAGCATCATGTACCTACAACTCTTTTACAAATAAAGTCTTATGTGTATATTTATACTCTGTTTTAATTTTTATATGTTTTAATTCAATCTACTTCCCGTTTTGGCATCAAAGCCATTTTTTTGCACTTGCTGATTATTCTATTTAAATTGTTTTATTTTATACTGTTTAAACTTTTTCTAGTGGAAACGTTGGTAAGCCTATGTAAGTTCATTAGATTAGGCAATGGTATTCTTGTTAAGCTTAAGGGGGAAAAAAAAAAAAGAACAATAAAACATAAAACTGTAAAAATAGGAATATGAGCTAATTTAGTGAGATATTAGAATCTGAGTCTAGAAAGGAAGATATGATAAGTCTTAAGAGTTTCAGCTTAAAGTCAAATAGAAATAATGAACCTGAAAGAGAAATAGAAGAAATTGAAAATGGTCAAATTTTTTGAAAAACAAAAATAAGAATAATCAATCTACAAGATATATTAACAAACTGGTTGATACCAACCTTTAAAGAAAAAGAAGTTTATAAGAAAACATCTTTTGATTTTTCATATGTAACCCAAATTATTGAAAAAGAAATACGAATAAATAAAGAAAGACGAAATATTTATATGATCCTAGAGGAAATAGTGGTTAAATATAAAGAAAACTATAATTAGATGCACATAGAAATGATATAGATTACAGTAAAATCTAATTTTAGGTTAAGTTTAGACGAACTTATATTTATATGTAAAAGATTGAAGACAAGAAAAAAAAATTTCAAAAATTTTTAGTTGTAATAATATAGTCAAATTTATTCAAAGGACAAATCTATTTTGATTGTTGTTCGAATTATGTTACAAGATTAAAAAACAAAGGTTGTAGAAGTCTTAGTTATGAAAATAGGTAGCCAAGTGTAACGGCTTTGGAACTCCCCAGTCCTTGAACCGTGCCGGCCTTAGCGTGATCAACCTCTTGATCTTTGCTAAGTCAGCCGAACCCTCAGTATGTAGGCAAAGAAAATAATTAACTTGAACACAAGAGAGAAGAAAGCTTGTATGAGAGAACTTAAGAGTTTAGAACTTTGATTACTTTCCTTGTTATTTACAAATGAGGAGTTGTGAGGGTATTTATAGGCCTCCCCCTTTCTCTAGAAAATTCCCACCTCCTTAATGGACAGTGGAGATCAATTTAATCCTATGATTTACATTTATCCTCTAGAGTATTTTATGAAAATATTTACAACAAATATCTAAATATTTACAAAGATATTTCTAAACTAATATTTAAGATATGTGTGAAATGTTCTAGAACATTCTAGAATATCCTAGAATATTCTAAACATCTCCACATTCCTCCATAAATTTCTAGAACCTTTTAGATTTCTTTAGATTATCCTAGATTGTTCTAGATGCTTCTAGAACATTCTAGAATATATTAGATTCTTCTTGAACATCCTGGATTCTCCTGAAAATCCCTGCATCATCCTGGACGTCTCCCAAAAGCACCGTATCCTTATGGTCTCTTCTCTTTTTTAAGAGAGGTTGTGACACAAGGCTTTGGAAAAAAGGAGTCACACATGTAACATCTTGAATTTTAATCCTTTGATTAACTAAGCTTAATTATGATAATTAAATAAATTAATGTAGTGTGTGGCTAGGGTCTAATGACTAGTTTTGATTGCATTTCAACCCTAATTATGGGTCCGGTATGAAGTTGAGCCACTCGAGATTGAAAAGAGAAGAAAACAAAAATGAAGTGTTCTTGTGCCACACGTCATGGCGTGATGTAGGTCCTCCATGGCGCACAAGAAAATACTGAAGTGTGAAGGGACCTCTCTGTGCCATGCGCTGCAACATTTGTCATGGCTCACAGCCCATTTTTTGTAGAATATCAGTTGCAAACTGAGGTAGAAACTAGAGAGGAGTAAAGAGGAAAACGAAGATCCAGTAGAAAGCTCCACTAGGGTTTGTTCTTGGGTAATATTGGGAGCATTTTGCAGCTACTAAACATCAAAGGTAAGTACTCTACACTCATTTCTTCCTATCTCTTCCATATTTATGAAGCTTATGGTTAAGGTTTGATAATGGGAGATGATTTTCAGTTCATATAAGTTATGAGTTCGAATCCATTAACTCAAATGGAGTTAATGAAAGTAGAGTTGAATATCTAAACCTAAGAATAATGAGTTTTGGGATTTTTGGTTGTTGAACCCCATTAGTATGCGAATTTAGCATTAATGAAAGTTGTTGAAAGAGTGTAATGCCATTAATGAAAGCTCAATGGCTCAATAATGTTGTTGGGGACCAAAAGAAGTTAATAAACTTAATAGGTAAGCCCAAGTGGTGAAATTGATGTTGTTGGGAAAACGGAAAAGTAAAAGTATGAATTGATCGTGTGTTCTTGACAATGGTAGTGAAGGATAACTTGGTTAATTGTAGATTAAACTCTTGGATACCAATTTGGCTTAGGACTTCAAGCTTGGGAGCTTAGAATATTAAGCAGTAAATATTTAACCTCTCAAAAGTTTTAATTAGGAGAACCCTATTTTAGATAGTTATATATTAATTGTATTATGATATAAGTGTTTGGAATAACAATTGTGTTTTATAAATGTGGATAACATGTTATGAACTCATGTGTTTATATAATTGCTTCGATTTGAACTACAAATGCAAAGAGATTACAAAATGATTTTTTTGTTCTAAAATGGTGGTTAATTGGGTGTTGATAATGATTGAGAATGATAATGATAAATGTGCTATGATTGAAAGTGAGAATATATGTTTTTATGTGAAATGAGACTAGATGATCACTTGGGTAGCACACGATCATGAGCCTAATGTGTTGGATTATAATAATGAAATAATGAGATTGTGAAAATAGTGAGTATTGAACCTGGCATGATCAATGGGTGGGAGTTCGCCTAGGGATTGAAAGTAGAGAAAAATTCATATGATATTTAGGCTATCCTCCGGTGCACAAGGGTATAGTCTTGTCCCACAATTTGTCAAGGGACTGTCCCATAGTTTGTCGAGGGACTAGAACTTAGCTTTCTCCATCAATTTATTGAGGAGAATAACGTAGAATATAAAATACCCTAGAGATTCGAGAGTAGAAAGAAACCATGGTCCAAGAGTCATGTGATCTTTGGCCAGTTCACCCCTCACAATTGGTGAGCTTAGATAGTCCAATCACACGGATGGAGCCCTATTCAGTGTTAAAAAATGACTGGCTCAATTCAAAATTGAAAAATGAGAGAACTTTCAGCAGATCCATATTTTGATATAATTAATTTTCTGTCATAAGCCAGTCCTGAGAGCCTAAAAAACTAGTATAGACAGATCCAAAACCAACAATATTCAAGTCACTCATGATATGAAGACAGTACGATGGATACTATGAAACATTATAGATTAGCTGCACTAATTAATTCCTAAGGCTTGCTGCCCAACCAAGAACCATTTTATGAAGCTAAGCTCAACTAATTTGTTAGTTTTGTACTTCATATCACTGTATAAATTCCTCGACACATAAGAAGGAAGCAATGAGAAAGATATTATTCTACCAGAAGAAGAATTCAGGAGATACCGTATTTCTAGATTTTATTGTGATTAGAAACAGAGGCAAGCACTCCACCAGGCAGTGCCACCAATAGCGAGGGATATCATTTTCAACAAACAACGGAGCAGTATCATAGAAATATATCTTTCTTGGTCAGTTCGTCTAAACTGGAGAAATAAAAGAATGCACTATCAACATATGAAGTACCATTCTAAGAGAAATGGAGAATTAGATACCCAACAAACTTTTGTATCATTTCAGGTGGAAAATTTTCAGATTGTACGCGGGAGAAATATGCAATCTTGTGGTGTTAAATATAATTTGCAATTAAATCATTTCTTTCAGGAGGAAAAGCAATTCAAAAATTTTAATTCATAAAAGAAGCATTCTGATCCTGCAGATATTCATTTACGAGCAATACACATGATATTGTATGTTATTCTTAATGTACAGCAATAGCAACTTAGGTAAAGAAATCAATAACATTATACTACCACACCAAGTTGCATCGTTGTCATGACATGTAAGCATATCTATAGAAGTAAACATATCTATACCTACAAGCAATTTTCTCTAAGGTGAGGGGTTGTCTTTGCATACCTCACTTATATGTAGCTCTGCCACCAACACTACCATGCTTTAAATGTTCTTGAATAAACCTTTTTGCATGAGATGGATACTTATTTCTAATGTACTCATGAAGGCACTTATTGTAGGAGAAGTCAATCGATTCACCATTAGTTCTTACAACAAAAAGACACTTTGAGTAGTTAAACACGAGATGATGTCTGACCTGCAAGATGCGAAGTCATGTATTTAGCAAAACTCTAGCAGGTAATTCACAAACAATGAGAATTAAAAGACAAAGAATTAGCACCAAGAGCATGCTATCCCATCAGAATCACATATGTATGTAGATTTATAATATTAATAACTGCATTGCTGTTTACTTATATTCAGTATTCACAGCAAATGAAATGAAAATAGGCCTGCAGAAAACAAAAGCAAAGAAGATCCAACTAGTTAGAGATAGCATGCCTTGGATTTATGAAGTGAATATATACGCATCTTGGGTATTTTCTGGGCAGGAACATATATTCTTACTCTCATGTCTTCTAATCACTTTTTTTTTACAACAAAATGTGATTGGTGACCCCAAAAGGAGAAATGACTAGAGTCAACCGCTTTTATGCTTTGTATCGCTATATAAATTCTTCTAGACACACAAGACAAAAGCAACAAGAAAGACCTCACTCTAGCAAAAAGAAATTGGGAGATATAGTATTTCCAGATTTTATTCACATCAAGGCCACACTTGCTCAGGAATACCAAATAAAAGATATGGGGAGATGAAATAGTTTCTTGGGATGGAGGTTGCCTAGTCAAAGAAACAAATTTACATCTGTCAGAGGAAGTACATTCTAGATCTCTTGAAAGAAATTGGCATGTTGGGATATACAAAATATAGTAGATGATAAGAATGGAAAGGAAATTTAGTATACTTGCATTATTTACTTTAAATCTTCCTGCATTTATCCTTCTTAATAATGTGTATTTCTATTCTTCTCAACTGTAAACAGTAATTTTCTTTTGTTTAAGGGTTAAAGTGAAAGTTGAAATAATGGGTTAAGCTTCTAGCATTGACCAACCCTTCTCTACTATTGTACCAGTGAGAATGAGACACACTTCTCAATTTAAATTCATTCTGTTTATAAATATTGCAGTATTACCATTTAAATTGTTACTTATTTTGTTCAGATGGATTAACTGTAATTGAAGGTGGAGGGGATGTCTCTATGAAGATTACTTGATGTTGGCTAGTTCTGTAAACTTTTTAAGACTTCAATTTTCATGTGGCTGGTTGTCTTTAGTAGATTCTTGTTGTAATGGGGCTGGATTTTCATGTGGGTGGTTGCTTTGATTAGCATGCTATTGTTGTAATGTTATGTGGCTGGTTTTAAAAGTGGTTCGGACTTTAATTTTCAAGTCATGTTGTTGGTTACAATTTTTAAATGTGATTCAAACTTGAATTTTATGTGGCTGTTATGAATATAATGTTCTTTGCTGTTATATTAAATGTGTTTGGTTTAAAGTTTGCCAAAAGAGAATTTGGCAAACTGACTTTCGAAACAGTAAAAGAAGCCCCAGCTTGCATTTCCCAAGCTGACTTTTTCATGGTTTTATGCTTTGTGGATGAGCTTAAAAGGAAAAAAAAAAGTTTTTCTACCAAACATCAGTTCAATGGAAGTTAATTTAACAAAGAACTTTTGGGGTATCAAAAGAGGCATCCAAGCACCCCATAAATTGTTATTCACTATTTCCCTTAGATATTACTCAAGCCTTTTCCATTTTAATGCAGTAGGAATTTCCATGTGGCTGTAACTGTCAACTTGTGGTGATAATTGTTGGCATTTTGCTGTGGGTTTGATCTATGCCTCATCAATTTCTCAAGTTTCAAAATTGCCTTCACCTTTTCAGGTATACATTCTATATTTCAGTTTTAACTTTTCAAGTTTTAGAATTGGCATCACTATGATTTAGGTATATGGTACACTATATTTCTTTTTTGGTTTCTCAACAGGTGTCTTTCTATTAGAGATAATCATGTTCGAAGCACTGTCGGGCAATAAATGTGAGCGCCTTTCCTACAACCTTGGGTCGCCATATTGTGAGGGATTAATCCCTTCCACTAGATCCAACCCCCTTGTTTGAAGCCCTCCTTTTTTTCCCACTTGAAGGGCTGAATAACAGCTGGTCTGACAGACCAGTCCACTAGCTTGGTAGACCAAGCCTGGCCATTGGGCTGGACCAAACCATGGACAAGTATGTCCAGCCTGATCATATTTCAGACCAGGCTATGGGCTAGGCACTAACCCAGTCTTCACACACCTATAAAACATACAATCTTCTAATATCAAGCCTGCTAAGAAAAAAATCTTCTAATGTTAAAAAATAATTTGTAATTAAATCATTTCTTTCAGGCAGCAATTCAGAATTAGTTCACACAAAAGAAGCATTGTTGATCCTGCAGATATTCATTTACAACAAGTTCACATGATATTGTATGTTATTTTTAATATACAACAATTGCAACTCAGAAGTTGCATGGACAACATAATAAAGAAATCAATAGCATTATACTATCATGCCAACAAGTTGTAGCATTACACTACCATGCCAACATGTTGCATTGTTGCCATGGCATGTAGATATGCATATAGAAGTAAGCAAATCATACCATAATTGACGCAAGACTGCATCCAATCTTATCATCATAATGTGGATGGTAAACAAGAAGTTTCTCTACCACAACTTTCTCATCCTCATCTGTCAATTGCTCTCCAACCATGTACCTAGTGTAGAAAATCAAAGACTTCAAGAAGATAGTTTTATAAGGTCAAATAAAGTAAAGTTGTAGAAGCCATATCGGTCAATATACCAAAGATGCAGCACATGTCAATGTGAGCAAATGACGGAGATGTAGAAATTATCACAGAAAATTTGTATACTATGTATAGAGTCTCGCAGGCAGGCAGGCACTGTTTTCCATAGTTATTATAGATCTCCATCTTAGTTATTTTCATGTGGCTGTAAGTGTCAATGTATGTTGACAATTGTTGGCATTTTGCCGTGGCTTTGATGTATGCCTCTTCCATTTTTCAAGTTTCAGAATTGCCTCACTTTTTCTAGAAGAATTTACAGAATAACAATGCTTGTCTCACAAGAAGGCAAGCGCCATTTTTAGCAAATATTACAAGTACAAAGTCTCACAAGAAGAATCATGAATTTGTTCTTTCAGTCTTCAAATAGGCTTCAGGTTAGTTTAGCCGCACAATAAGGTATGCAAGAATTTTACCATACAAATGTGAACAGATCTCCTTCACCCAATCAATAGTGCTCAAAGGCAAATGATATTCATACTATGTTGTTTGTTTTCCTATCAAGGAGCCAATATAGTCTCATAAGGAATTTTCTAAAGGAGAATATTAATTTTGGATCTTGCGTCTCTCTTCTCTCTCTAGAGTTTCTTCTTTCCGTTGCCTTGCATGGCTACTGCTTCCTTATGCTAGGTATGTTACGCAACAATGAGTGCCTATCATGATAATAGGTTTAGCTTTAGCATTATTCCAATTTCTCGTGCATTTAGTTTGATAATATATAACTCCTTTTGTTTGCATATATGGGTATTCAACAACGTACGTTGGAAAGTTAGAGGCAATACGACGAACAGTTGGAGAGCAACAAGAAGTGAGAAATTTCATAAAATGAATTAGTGTCATGACCTGACCTTCCCGAGTGAAGGATATCCCTGGCTAGCCTAACGATGGGATCAATGTCCTTGACGATCTCCTTTGCCTTGTCCTTCCATTCCTCATTATCAGGGTCATCCTGTAGCTTCGAGATTTGATCAGCATGGCTTGCTTCCTCACCTGTCTGTGCCGAAATTCGGATGGTGGGGGCACTACAGAATAAGCGATGAGGCGTCACATTCACGGAGATTCCGGCCACAAAACGCCGGAAGTTTTGGAATTGAGAGCTATGAAGCAGAATGTCCCAAAGTAGAGGGCCAGCCATTTCACATCTGAGGGTTGTACGATACAGACAAAAGGTAGTAATTGGGAGTGTGTTAGGGTTTGGTGGTTCTAATTTAGTGATTATGATGGCACAATCAATGAAAGCTCTTGGTAGAGGGAGGAACTATGGCATTTTCAGAGATGACGCTGAAGATGATCGTGCTGGTTACTTGCGCAATTAAACTAAATAGTTTTAGTGAAAGATTAGTGTGAGCAGTGACAAGCTAAGAATTAGAAAGTGAGAATGATACAGAAATCTAAAAAAAATTAATTAATTTAAATTAAATTTTAAAAATTTATAATTTAATTTTTTAATTTTATAATTTTATTATAATAAATTTATAATTTATTTTAAAATTTTAATATGATTGAAGAATAAAATTATTTTTTAATTAAAATTTTAAAAATAAATTATAAATTTATTTCAATATAATTATAAAATAAAAGATTGAGTTATAAATTTTTAAAATTTAACAGATAAAATATAAATTAAATAAATTAATTCTTCTCAGACTTCTTTATCATCATCCCAATTACAAATACGTTCTAAGATTTCATTTATATCATTATATGTCCATCCTCTAGTATTTACATATAAAAATAATAATTAATTAATTTTTTGGATTTATTTGTAATTCTTCATTTAATTTTTCACATTATATTATGCTGTATAAAAAAAATGTATGTTACTAAATAAAATATATGAAATAATTTTTTTGCGGCAAAAATTATAATTTAACTAAATTATTGAAAATTTTTTAATATACAAGATTTTGAATTGTATCTTTTTTTATCTTAAAAAATATGGAATACTTTTTTTAACCAAAAAAAACTAGAGATATTACCAACATCTGTTTACACTAATTTAACTCCTCTTATGTAAGATGTTATTATTAATGACAATCTTATGAGTGCTTTAGGTTTAGAAATACATTTGGCATTTTTATTTAATATAGTTGCATGTCTCAAAAATCAAATTTAAAATTTTAAAATAAGTTAATTCAATTCTTTCATTCAATTAAATCGAGTGCCCATCAATTTTTAAATTGTATTTATTAGTCTATCATTTATGTCTAAAATATATTATGGTAGAGTAGAGTTGGTAATTCGGGCGTATTGAACTTATTCGAGTCAAACTTAATTCAAATCGACTTATTTAGATTGAGCTTAAAGTATCCTATTCTTTTTAAAAAGTTCATATAACCAAACTCGACCCTAACACCTTCATGCTTTTGGCTTATTCGGGCCGGCCCGAATACCCAAAACTTTTTAAAAATATTTTTTCTTTATTTTTGAATCAATTTTAATTTTTAAATAATTTTGTTAAGCATAAAATATTATTTTAATGTTCAAAGAATAAAAATTAATAACTTATCAACCTTGAATTTAAGTAGCTCTATTACTGTTTTATTGTATTATGTATAATTTATTTATGAATGTTTTCTTTACTTGTAAATTAATATCTTTTTTGTTTAAATATTGCTTTTATCATGGTTATATATAAATATTTTATATATTTTAATTAACTTATATTATTTTAATAATGATCAAGTTGATCTTAATTTAATTACGGTTAGACTACTAACTTAAAATTGTTACCCTAATTAGTTCAAAGTTTTCATAATCTTTGGGTAAAATATACTTTTTGTTTTTAAGAATATGAAAAAAAATAGCCATCATTATATTATATAAAAAAATCATTTAATACTAAGTAAAATATTATTTGTTTGAAATTATTTGTTTAACTTTTTATATTGTTTAACCCCCTACATATAAGGGGTATTTACTTTAATTGATTTTTAGTTTTTAACCAAGTTTGATGTGGATGATAATTAAATAATTATTTAAAAATATTGTTCTATTTATTATGTTTATCTAGTAATAGAGCCAGAAATTCGTATATGCCTGAATTTTATTTTTAAAAATTTTACTTTAAAATTAATTATCTTATTTTGTAAAAATATAAATTATATTTTTTGGATGTGCAAATGATGTATAGGACTCAAAGTTTTTTAAAAAAATTAGGGCTTAAAATATAAAAATTAATATTAAAATATATTTTAAATATTATTTTGAGATATTTTATCAATTAAAAATAATAAAAATATGAAAATATAAATATTTTTAATTTTTTTAAAAAATAAGTATAAAATGACATAAAACTTAAAAAATTAATTAATATTTATTATATTTCATATATTTTTTAAAAATTTATTTTTTATTTGAGTATTCGAGCTAATTTTGAACTTGATTGGGTTTGGCCTAAATTTTCTTAGACTTATTTAGGCTGTCCGAAGAGGTCCGAACATTAAAAAAATTATTATTATTTTTGGCTCGACCTTAAATTTTTCAAATGAGTTCGGGCTAATCCGTTGGACTTATCCCAAATTACTGACTCTATGGTAGAGTGTGTTAGAAAGTGGTGTAGTTTGAAAATATTACGAATTACAAAATATATCAATACATCTATAATGACTCAAAAGTTTAAATAAATAAAAAAAATTATGAGTGGATAATTTAAGTATATTTTTTTTAATTTTTGGGGATAGTTTTAACAAGAGTGAAGTGGTGGCTCAATGAAAATGACCATGGATGTTTATACATCAATCCTGAGTTCGAATCATTCGAAAGAACAAAGAGGGATTTTTTTTTTGTTCTAGTGATATTACCACAATGCCCTTATTTAAAAGAAAAAAGAAAAGAAAAGATCAACAAACAAATCAAAGCATGTGTATGATATTTTTTATTCCTCCTCATGTTCTTATTAGGTTCTCAAAGTGATGAGCACCGGGAGCTCCTTAGTCAAGACAAGGAGTTTTAATAAGAAAGTAAATCTGAGTCATTAATTTCTCAGTAATCTCAACTGTACTTTTATAAATTGATATTTAGTATTTTTTTTAATTTGTTATTCCTCTTCCCCCCTAAATCGAAAGCATTCGAAGCATTCACACCATACCTACAAAAGCATGGGCAAGATGGCAAATAGTATTCATGCTAGAGACCTGCGACAGTGTCAGCAAGACGATAAGCCTCCGTGATTTGCAAATTTTGAAAATTGAAAAGGTTTGACCATACATAAGGGTTAGTGTTCTAGTATTCCAACATCCATATCGCACATAAAAATGTGACACTAACGGCATGCGAAAGCAAAAGTTCTAGCCTTCAAAGCGAAAACCCACAAAATAGGAGTTGTCACCAAAATTTTAAGAAAAATCTTTAAGAAACCATTTAAAAAAATAAGGATGGTTTGTAAAATGAAAAAAAAAAAATTAGAGAGTCGACTGAATGTGAGGAAGGTATTAGGCAACCTACAATACCTATTTTTTGAGAATAGTTACCTGAAGTTAATTGTACTAAATTAATATGGCTTTAAAATTATTTTAATTATCCCTTTCTTATTGACATATTTGATATAAAAAAATGAGAATTATTTATTTATTTACAAAGGAGGACTTGACCCAAAATCAAAATCTGGGGCCTAAATACTCTGTGATAGGAATCAAAGTCTATGTAGTTTGAGATTGTGAGTTTGTTGGTGAGAATATATTTGTTTTGAAGAGAAATTAATTAAAAATAATTTACTATTTTGCAAATAAAATAATTTTCTAAATTTTTGATATGTATGTTTTCAATTGTAAAAAGTAATTTAATTTTAATTATTTTTCTAATTTTTAAATTTTGATATAAGAAAAAGAAATAAGAAATATTCTATTATAAAAAATTTAAAATCATTTCTCTTCTTTCTTTTTTTTTATACATTTTGTAAGATTAATCGTTATACTAGCGAGGCTTTATTGGCTCACATGGTAATACAATTATTCTTATTTTCTTCGGAGATTCTAAAATCTCACAAGATAAAAGAATCAAGTATCTTAATTTATTTATCATTTTTTAAGCATCTATATATTTTTAAAAATAATCTTAATTGTCATACTCATACCTGCAAAGCCTTATTAACTTATACAGTAATATGATTATCCTAAATATATGAAGACCATTAGAACCCATGTTTAATATATATAAGTTATATTTTTATACCTGTAAAATCTTATTGATTTACACACTATAAGATCATTTTTATTGCCTATACATATTCTTACATCTCACACGACAAATAAATTAAAGGCTACAAAGGTTGATGTAATTATCAAACCATACCACCAGATGTTAATTCATTCTAAAATATATTAATTAAAAAATTGGAAAACAAAAAAAAAATTCAAGATTCAACTATGCAAGAATAAAACGCCAACATATGTGGCGTCATACTCAACAAGCCATGGCAAACATATACTTGCAAACACCCTTCACAAATATATCAAAATAATCGACACAAAATGTAGACATTAACAAGTTTTTAGGATTAGCAAGTAAGCACAATGATAAATTTTCAAATGCCAAGAAGCTTGAAATTTGATTGAACTATATTCTTTAATTACTAAGGGGAACAATATCATATCTAGTCTCATAGGTAGCTGGATAGTGATCCATAAGAAAATATAAATGATACGATTCAAACCCATAACCTTTATCTGAAACTTTAGAACTAGAGAGTGTGCTCTTATATTCACCAATATATTTTTTCAAGCATCTTAATTTAAATATTTCTCTCACAATACAAGACTCATCATGAAATCAGAATTTTGTTTTTGAGAAAGGAGAAAAATAAGACTTCAACAAAAATTCATCTTCTAAAACTTAAATGCCTTTGAACATACATGAATAACCAAAGTGGAACAAGTATCCCAACAGCATAGGTGCATATACCAAAAATAAAATAGAGTATCCTATGCCAAAGTCCCCATCTATCAACTCTAACAATGTATATACACATACAGGATCTATCAATGATCTAACAAAGCCTACAAGAAGAAAATATTGAACAAATCGTTACCAAGGAAAACAACAATCTTAAGGTTGAAAATTCACAAATGATAGTTAAAGGATTATTTTCAACATTCAAACAACATAACCATGACTCAAGCTTCCTCAACCTAAAAATTAAAATTAAGAAGAGGAATCAAGCACAAATATTTCAAATCTATCAACATAGTTAGATTTGGAAACCTGTTAGGCTACTTCCTCCACATTCCTCCTTACCTCAACTTTTTTCCTCTTCTATAAGTGCTCCAATTTTTCTTCATTAGCTCTCCATGTTCTTTGTTCTTC